TTCCCACGGCACTGTTCTGATAGAAGCTACTTCGACTAATGGTCCCAGAGGAACGGCCGTAAAGTAGCCAGACTTCTTGTCTCCTGTACTGGCTGACACATGCGGATTAAAGTTAGAAATTTCGCTATGCTATAAATATAATTGCTCTCGGAATTGAACAAACTACTTATCTAGATCCTTTCTAAATTCGTTAGAGTTTCATGGACTGGGGAAAAATAATCGGTACAGTATCCCTGCTTGTGTAATTAAGCAATGAAAACAATCCAAAATTATCACATATGACATAAGTTGTAATAGCAGAAACTTTCTAACCGTACATTCACCCGCCACTGTTCAAGAACCTATATCACTGTTTAAAATCATGACGTGAGCACTGTACATCCAATCAGCTATTCCTTTAGTTAGGATGATAGCCAAAACTATAAGGATTTTGGAGAACTAGGGTAATAGTCATAATTCTAAAATTTGAGTGAGTTACACTTGTTTTATTGACGATGATAAACATTTGCAATGTATTAAACGCTATGCAAGCGCGCACTGAGGGACTTTATGACGTCACGAGGCCACAGCTTATTATTGCAATAACACGCGTTACACGTACGCTAGAGAGTTGGTTCTTTCGGCGATACGATTCTTTACCAGTTTGTCACAGCTGATTTAAATCTTAGCCAAATTGGAGACTACAAATTTTTCAGTTAACTGGTCCTTTAAATATCGGTTTGGTGTGCTCTTTTATGAAAAATTTTTGGTCAAGATTCTGGTGTCCTATAGGCCTAGTACGTGCACAAGTCTTAAACTTATCAAGGTACGCCAGCCTGTCACCAAATAGTACTCTGAGACAGTACTTCTGAGCAGTAAATAATGAGCTTATACGTTGTTTCGCTGCCCCACCCCATACAGATATACAGTAGGAAAGATGTGATTCGAACAGGGTATAATATAATTGTTGGTGTAGAAATTCTGGAAGGGAGCAGCGAAGTCTACATAAAGTGGATGTGGAATGATTTAGAGTTCGTTTAAGTGCTTTGATGTGATCTTCCCATGATAGGTTCTCGTCAATTATAACACCCAGAAATTTTGCGGATGAAACCTAATGTAACTTATTCGCTCTCATATAAGACTTTAATGATGACAAAAGCTCATTTCCTCGTTCATATGCCTCACATTTTGTTTTGCCGACAACAAATATATTGGTATCATCAGCAAAGGTAACAAATGATCCTAGTTTAGAACTGTTTGTGATGTCGTTCATATAAAGAAGAAATAGGAGAGGTCCAAGAATTGAACCCTGTGGGACACCAAATTGAATAGATAGGGTATCTGATTTTTCTCCTACAACTTCGGTGTATTGTTGCCTGTTTGTCAAGTAGCTTTTAATGAGGTTATTTGCAACCCCTCTCACTCCACATCCCTCTAGTTTTATAAGAAGTGTTGAATGGTCGATAGTGTCAAAAGCTTTGCTTAGGTCAATGAATATTCCTAAAACATGATTCTTAAGTTTAAGAGATTTCGTAATCAAATTTACAGAGTAATTGACTGCATGAGATGTAGAGTGAGATTTCCTAAATCCAAACTGCGTCTTCGATATAACTCCCTGGGAGCTAACAAATCCGTATATTCTAGAATATATGAGCTTTTCAAAGATCTTACCGAAGACGGACAGTGTGGAGATAGGACGGTAGTTCTCAATTTCTTCTGGGTTACCTTTCTTATATACAGGTGTTATTTTACCAGTTTTCAGGACATCAGGAAATATACCTTTGGTCATAAGGATATTGAAGTAATTCGATAATACAGGTTTTTTTTTTTTTTTTTTTTTAGAGAGGCTGGGCCTGGTTGGCCCACGAGAGGATAGCATATGAATGCTTTGCCTACCTCTGGGGTATGGCAGTCCTGTGGGAGGATGCCAGTGGAATCAAGATGTGTAATCAAGGATGATGGTAAGTGTTGTGGGGTGTGTCATAGATAAACGCTTAAGTGGTGGTTGAGTGTGGAAGAGAGAGAGGCGAAATAAGACGGCGTTAAAGTAGTCGCTATGTTACACCTGTCTGGTCCAACTCCTCTGGCACCACTAAGCGTTTAGTGTGGTTTGTAAAGTTGACAATGGTGGAGATGTGTTGGTTGTCGAATATGTCATTGACAGAGAGGTAGTAGTCCCGGAAATATTACCTGAGTACCCCAGGCTTTAATGTTGTAAACAACAGAATAGAGATTAGGCGGAATGACAGGCTGAGCGCGGCCCAGTAACGGAAATATTGACCTCTTATTCGGGCAATAGCCGGGCGATAATACAGGTGCGATTACATGAGATGACTTTTTTACTACACTTATGGGAATGTCACTGGCTTTACCATTTTCGAACTCGCTTTATATGATTTTCAATATTTCTTTCGAGGAGCAATCTTCTAGCCTAATATTTTTTTCATTTCATGGGTTCAGGAAGTCATAGAAAGTTTTCATGGGTAATATAGGCAGGCCATCAGATAGATTATACAGTGTCTCATTCAGCTTTGGTGCAATAGAGACAAACCAAGCATTGAATCCATTAGCAATTGCTCTTCTGTCAACTATTCTTTGGTTATCAATGATAAATGGGGGCTTGGTTTGCCTCTTCTTTTTGCCCCTGAGTTCGTTAATAATTTGCCAGGTTTTATTGCTGTTTTCACAGTTGTTTAGGATTTCGTTACAGTAATGCCAACGTTTGGCAGCTTTAATGATAGCTTTGAGCATCCTACGATAATCACTAAATACTTGGTAGAGCAAGAAATTACCACCAGGGTTCTTATTAGTAACGGTGTCAGACCACTCCTTACGCAGTTCATGCTTTCTTTCTACAGACTGGATGATACTGTCTGTAATCCATGGGTTAAGTTTGGGAGTTCTTTTTGTCACTTTTGGTACCTCCAGTTTGCAGTGTTTGTCAAGTGTCTGGTCAAAACATGCCGTGAACTCATCAAATTTTGTTGAAGGAGTGAGCTGGTTTACCGTCACCTCAAGTTCAGATACAAAGCTTTTTAATTTGGAACTTGAGTAATCATAATAGCGGACATGTTTCTGAGGCTCTGTATTGCGAGGGGTATCTACTGAAGTGAAGGTAAATATAGGGGCATGCTCACCAAGCCGTTCTTCAATAACACCTGATAAGACTATATTCTCAATTTTATTTGTTAAAATGTTATCGATGCAGGAACTTTTACAGTTTTGACGAAAATGTGTTGCAATGGAGATAGTCGGGTAAAAGCCGTTTCTGTATAAAGTATCCTCAAAGAGCTGGGAACTGGTAGAAATATTAAGTATGTTTGAGTTAAAGTCTCCCAACAAATTGACAGTTTTCCCATTTAGCTGCTTTGCAAGTAATTCAAGGGTTTCACAAAAGCTATCAAAGCAGCCATTAGGGGGTCGGTAGATGACTCCATGAACAATTTTGCAGCCTGCGCTATCTGTGGTTTCAACAAAGAGGCTCTCAATATTTGTAGTACAGTGTGATACGTTTTCTAAGACCACAGTGTTTAAATGGTCAGATACATAGAGTGCAACACCTGTGCCTTTTTTCTTACCTGCCAATGTTTCTTGATAGAATCCTGTGTATGCTGGAATTTGGTACAGACCCTGCTGTGCAGGATCAGTATTGGTTTCAGCAAGACCAATCATATCAAACGAGTGCCCTATACTTTTGAGTTCAATTAGGAAGCTATCAAAGTTAGATGCGTTTCCATCTATATTGTAGAATAAAGTTGATAACGTAGATTTTTTAGAGGAATTAAGCTGCTTGATTGCATTTAAGAACTCGAGTTTAGAGTAGCGACGGCAACTTTCAAGTACATGGGCATATGATGCAATTAAGGCATCCTCCTGGTTTCTATTATCATAGAATCTATCAGAATCAATAGATTCCTCATCAGATGGAAATGGGCAGTACCGTTCTTCTGCAGAACTGGCACACTCGCAGCACATCCATAGTCCATTTTTGCATGAATATTTAGCTGATTTGAAACACTTAGTATGAATGGCATTATTACAGTTTTCACACTCTAGTAAAGGTTGTCCGATGTTAATAGATCTACTGCATGGCTCACACACATCTTTAATAATTTTCATAATAATTTTTACTAAGTGGGGTTGTTAGACCCCACTGACTGGTTGTGTTTTCCACGTCTTGTCCGCTCTTGCCTCTCTCTCACATACACCCAATGCTTCACACACCTCACAAATTTGGTAATACCATAAACTCCTAAGTGAATATCATCACCACCTCTGGTCAGGTTGGTGGCAAGGAGTCCCTTACTATCTAAAAAGTGTCCAACTCCAAGGTGCCACACACTCTGGTTAAAGTTGGCACTCAACATTTCTCCAACAAGCCGATTGAAGGTCATGATATTCTCGTTCATTTGAGGTAGCCTGGTTGGAAAGACTGCTGCGACAAAAACTTTGATCCTAGGGGAGAGCTTTTTTATCTGTTGGATTTTCATGTGGAGAATGTCAACCAGCTGATGGATTGAATTTTCTCCCCTAAGGCTGTCTGCTCGGAGGTCATTTGTGCCACAAACAAGAACAGCGTTGCTGTATCCGATACAGTGACAAGGGTCAATCAAACTAACTTTGCTTGCCTTAACTCTTTCACCCGGGAATGATTGACCCATCGTTCCAGCACCACTACCAGGTAATTATCACTTTTGTATCCTTGTATCCTTGTATCCGTGTATCCTTGTATCCTTGTATCCTTCATATTCATCATATCTCCTGGCACATTCTATCAAGCTTTTCAGATTTAAATCATCAGAAAGGTCGTCCCTAATTTTTCGAATCCCATTATTTGCTTTTGAAAAAAATTCACAGTGTAAGCAGATGTGTATGGCTGTTGATGCCATACTACTTTTCTTGTATTTTTTGAGCCTCAGCAATTTGACTGTTGTTTTTTAAATCTGCATTATTAATTTCAGTAAACTGTATTAGTAAACAACAGCTTGTAATATATTCACTGAACATATTGACAGCTATAAAGAACATCATTGTAGGATGCTAATAGTGGGATGGTTCCTGTGGACTCAATTCATTCCTAACATCCCCCTCGTACATTCTATAACACCAGGTACTAAAAGTTTAACAATCACTTATCTAATATTCTTATACAAAACCTTTCGGCAACGTTATCATAGGTTTGTTGGTTTGTTTGTGTGTCGTTGTTTATCCCCCTTGTACATTCTTTAACACCAGGTACTAAAAGTTTAACAATCATTTATATATTCTTATACAAAACCTGTCGGCAACGTTCTCATAGGTTTGTCGGTTTTTTGTGTGTCGTTGTTTATCCTCCTCATACATTCTTTAACGCCAGGTACTAAAAGTTTAACAATCACTTATATATTCTTATAGATATTTCACCATTTGCCTTAAAACCAAATTGAGAATATGAATTCACTGAAAATTACCGGAACTAATTAACACATAAATATCAGCAAGCATCTTACAGACCTATAATTACAGATAGACTAGAACCAGAAGCCGGGGACAGTGGGACCCCTAGTGATGACCCTGTACCTGCATCCAGTTACCAGCCCCTCGTCTCCCTGTGCCCTAGCAACAACTGTCAGAATGGAGGACAGTGTATGATGGTCGGATCATCCTTCACTTGTATCTGCAAACTTTCTCATACTGGTTAGGAGTTACTGTCTAATATTCGTAGTTTGGACATAAGGGTTTAAATCAAGTATGATTGTTCTTGTTGTTATTTGTGCTGATTCCGGATAAAAAATGAAAAATTTCTGATCAGCTTTATTTGTTGCCTTTGTTCATCATGTGGAGGGGGGAACAAACATTTTAAAGTTTTCTCTTAAATGTGATAGAGCTGCTAGTGACAAAGAAGTAGAAAAAACCGGGTCAAAATCAGACCTTTCGTGGTTCCTTGGACAATTATGATCTTCTAGAAAATAGGTGTTGCGAATATTAGCGATTCTTTTTATTCCATCCGGGTCTCAAATTATGAGGTAAACGATTTCAAAAAGTGTGGAGCAAATTTTTAAAACTTTTTGAAATGGTTAACCTCATAATTCGAGAACTGGGTGGAATAAAAAGAATCGCTATACCAATTTTCTAGATAATTGTCCAAGAAGAAATTTTATTATCAATTGTCATAAGTTTTTATTTAGAAAAGGCAGAATTCGTGGTAAAGCAAGTGGTTTCAAATAGAGTTAAGTGTGGATTGTGAAATTAGACATATTATATATTATTTACAGCAGAATCGTGCTAGCAGGCACAAATACACATTAAGCTTCCACCATACAAGGTCTGGACTCTGGTTTATAAAAATATAATTTGATATTTTTGAAATTAAAAGTGATATAATTACGGCTGCTCAAGAATATCAAGCATTAAACATCTTGTAATTATAGCAGTTACAAAATAAAATAACATACTTCTCGCCAGAATATTTATTATGTATACTATGCTTTAAAACTGAATCCTAGTAGTACCAATAGAAAGGATAGAACTGCATACCGTTCAACGTTTTATAATTTCTAACACGAAGGCTCGAAGGGCCACGAATGAGTGTTCTGAAATTTTGGACAGTGGTCGTTAAAATAATTAGGTTGCAATCATTACTTCGGTTATATCCTAGAGGTCTTTAGTCATCAAATGAGGCTAATGGTGATTTTAATGGGCTGAGATGTTATTTCGCAGGCAAATGTCAAACTATCATGTTATTTAAATAGTTCAAGGTTTAGTTAAAAGTATTTACTATTAACCTGATGATGGTCCATGTTTTCAGTAAGTTTTTTATTGGAACACGGGTTATCTAGATAGAAAATATCAAGACAGCAAGTGCTCAGTCCAATTCACATGTTACCTCATTTAATTCACCCTGAGTTTTCCAAATCACAAAATACGTCCTCAATTCCTTTTTTGACCAATTTTCTAAGTACCCTGATCATGACCCTGCAGCCTGCATTGTCTCCGACACACTATCGATTACAAATTTGGCAACGTACACGTGAACCCTTACTATAATTAGGTATATGGATTATGGATACAACTTATGCTCCTACACAATTTGTGAAAGGACCATTCACTGACATAGGCGTCTAGACTACATCACAGAGCAGATATTCTAGCCAAAAGTACGCTTACTTCACCGGACTGTTAAATCGATTGGGTCCGACCTCTAATCTCGTAGTATTCGGAGTTAATCCTATTTCGACTGTAACAATAGTTTACAGATTATTTACTGCGGTAACAGGTACCTCCTTCTGCGGTATCTTAATTCTAAGGAATGTGAGATTAAATCTTATTTATTAAGTGTCATTGCTGACCAAGATTTGATTGCACGAAGTTTTATGTGATCACACAAAAAGTTGCAAGATGATTTATATATATCTGCTTGGAGTTTGGTGATTAGTAGCAGTAGGATTACATTTCTGTAGATACTGCATGAGAAAAGTTTTAATTTCAACACTGAACGCATCATAGAAATAGGTAAAACTTGCACAAAATCGATGAAAAAGTGGTAAAATTTAGTTTAATAATGAAATCGTAAACAGGTTCAAATAGTCCCGCCCGCGTCAGTCCCGTTAGTAAGGCCAAGAACCTCAGCTCAGATTCCTTTCTGATCACCAAATGAACTTATAAATGTATAATATTTTATTTGTATGTAGTTGTATAACGTATATTTTACAGTCGAAGCGTGTAGTGTATTAAATATTACAATAAATAATTGATTGTAAATAAATGTAATAAATAAAGAATTTATTTATTCATAATGCGCTGTACGATGATATAATTTTGATTCACTCCCAATAACCGAAAATAACTATGATGATGAAATAAATTAAAATTACGACATTTTTCATCTCTCTCTAATTTTCATCTCTCGAAATGTTGCAACATCAAGAGTACCGCAAGAGCCTTCCACCTTCACCTTGATGATTACACTGAAAAGGCATAAGTCTCTGCATATCACCAGTATTTACTCCACTATCACGTCATCAAACCTCGTGAAAATTTCACGGAAACCACCTACCACAACATAAACAATAAAAAATTCTTGACCATTATATTTCAACATTATTTTAGGTGAGCACAGTGAAATATTTCAATTATTATCTTCAGGTGAACACTGCGAAGAAGAGTTGAAGTTTGAACATTCCTCTCTCTCCTCAACCTGTCACCTCTATATGGAACAGGCATGTGTTACAAAACCTTTCGGCAACGTTCTCATAGGTTTGTTGGTTTGTTTGTGTGTCGTTGTTTGTGTGTGTTTAGTGTGTTTGTTTGTGAATTTTGCTCATCTGACATAAATATTTGGTAGTTTATAGAATGCGAGACATTTTACCCCCGATTAAGATACAATAAAATCTGGTACTCATATCATGTACTGACTGTACTGAGTGGGATCCCTAAGGTGAAGACTGAAGAGTTATAAGCAAACCGTGACTGTGACCTGCGTACTTGATCTGCAAATTTACGACAAATCTCTAGGCTGGCATATTTAATACATATTTGATACTTTCAACACTACTAGTACTATACAACAAATAATTTGAAGAAACGATGTAACAGAGTCGATATATTTTAATGTTGCCATGGGGTGGCAAGTCCCCATACATCGTAGTCCGGTAGTTTCATTGCGTCTTAATATGTATAATGTAGATTCTAAGCCAGTTACAACAGATATAGTTGAGCACCTCTGCAGAAAATGTAATCAAGAAGTTCTTATAATTAGTCGTTGATAATTCTAAATTAGAGCGAGATTTTACACGTGTCAGTTCATTCCTGTAAACTCCGTCTAAAATTGTTTAATCCCTGTAGGATATTTAGCAGTCACTTGTTCATAATTTGTATTAAGGAGACGGCCGACATAAAAAAGACCTGCTTTTGATATCTGCCTTTCATTCGAGAAGAATAAAGGTAGTCAGAATCGCCCTCGCGAATTGGGTCGAAGTACGAGAGCCAAACCCCAGAAGCAAATCGGAGAGATATCTCAAATCTCTCTAGCTAAGATGGAAATTGCTAATTAAATGACTGCAGTTCCATGGAAAGTATACTATATAATGTCGACGTGAAAGTCGTTAGCTATAATTATTTGTGTCGTTAGTGTCACAGATATAGTTGAGCACCTGTTCAGTATATGCAACTAAGAAGTTCATATAATAAGTGGTTGGTAATAACTCAGGACGACTGGTTACCCCCCTCCAAGGCATAATGAATGGTTACAAAAAAGTCTGGAGACCGTGAAGGCTTTCTCATAGTTCTCATTATTAAACTATTTTACTTTGACTGATAGTTGCTGCGTTATTGTGGATATAATAAAACACCTTAACCCCGGAATTGAACATGTGAAGGGGAATTGTTGGGTGATAGTATTGATTTTGCAATTTGGTAAAAATGTTTGGTTTTGGTAGGAAATTTGCCCCGTAGCCAATCACCAAATAATACAAAGCCAGTAGATAGTATCAAATGCCTGAAACCTTATAATTATGCACTCTCTCCCTCTCTTGCTTGGACGTAATTAAGCATCTTAGATCTTTAGTTAATAGCAGTGCATGACATCATGTCATGCACTGCTATTAACTAAAGATGATGACATGGGACTGTAATATTAATACTGCTAAGTTATATAATGAGTGCGGCTCAGTGCTCCCTCCATCAGACTTATCCTACTGTCACCTCTGGTATGTGTCTGACATCTGGGACAACACACACGGACTCACACTAACGTGCGAGGATAGCTGACACGAGGAGGTGTAGGACATACTTTAGATTACGCTAAAATGTCGACATTTAAAGGGTTTTCATTAATATGGTATATTAATGTATGTGTCTGCTCGTGCTCTTCATTATGATTAAATTCCCTAGAATTGTCCACGAAGTTAATTTTATAATGGGTCGAAGTACCAAAGCCAAAATGCAGATTCGTGGTCGTGGATCTGTATGATCGACAATCAAGGATCTTGAAAATGTAATTTTGACATTCTCAGATATTTCATGATTCAAGGATTTAAACAAAATTAAACCTTCTGACTTAACCTTTTAATCGAGGACTTGTTATTCTGAAATAATTCCGTATTTGTGCACATTCCAGTCATGACTCACGTATTTGACAAATCCTCGACATGTTTCCTTTGACGCATCCTAGTTCCTTTGAAGATTACATTTCCCTGACTGAAAGTTATGATTGATGACTCAAGACACTAAGACAGCTCCGGGTCACATGCTACTTGAGCTCACACGTGATTTATCACATGATTGCATGCGATCGTGAGTGGTAAAGTCGCTTCAGATCCCAAGCTTTCTGTATCTTACGTGGCACGTGCCTATTATAATACCGTCCCGACTCCCGAACCCTCACAATAATAACAGTGCACAGTCCTTTCAAAGTTATTAAGTCGGCATGCCACTACTATTATACTCATGTATGGGGTGCATTTGATCATTTCTAAGTACCATGAAATAAATCTCTTGATAAACCAATTATCGAGTAATTATCTAATGACAAAGTAATTATCTAATGACAAAGTAATTAAATCTACTTTCAGTGTACTCAGTGTTAAGTACCCTCCTACTCCTAGTTACCTCTTCTCTTCTCTACCTCTCCTGCAGAAACCCTTACTGGCTCGACGAGCTACAGAGTTCACTTGGTAAGTTAAATAATTTATTAATTACTTCACTTGGTAAGTTAAATAATTACTCGGTTATTAGATTCAGTAAGTTTATTAATTAATTAATTACTTCACAAGTGGTAAGTTGTACCAAATTGCTGAGTAACTTCTTCGTTATTGGGATTATTTAGCCACTGTACCTGCAGCCACTGTACCTGCAGCCACTGTAACCTGCAGCCACTGTACCTGCAGCCACTGTACCTGCAGCCACTGTACCTGCAGCCACTGTAACCTGCAGCCACTGTACCTGCAGCCACTGTACCTGCAGCCACTGTAACCTGCAGCCACTGTAACCCGCATGGCAGCGACTGTAACCTGCAGCGACTGTACCTGCAGCCACTGTAACCTGCAGTGAGTGCAGCCACTGTAACCTGCAGCCATTGTAACCTGCAGCCACTGTAACCTGCAGCCACTGTACCTGCAGCCACTGTACCTGCAGCCACTGTACCTGCAGCCACTGTACCTGCAGCCACTGTAACCTGCAGCCACTGTACCTGCAGGCTGCAGCCACTGTAACCTGCAGCCACTGTAACCTGCAGCGAATGTACCTACAGCCACTGTAACCTGCAGCCACTGTAACCTGCAGTGGGTGCAGCCACTGTAACCTGCAGCCACTGTAACCTGCAGCCACTGTAACCTGCAGCCACTGTTCCTGCAGCCACTGTTCCTGCAGCCACTGTACCTGCAGCCACTGTACCTGCAGCCACTGTTCCTGCAGCCACTGTACCTGCAGCCACTGTAACCTGCAGCGACTGTAACCTGCAGCGAATGTACCTACAGCCACTGTAACCTGCAGCCACTGTAACCTGCAGTGAGTGCAGCCACTGTAACCTGCAGCCACTGTAACCTGCAGCCACTGTAACCTGCAGCCACTGTTCCTGCAGCGAATGTACCTACAGCCACTGTAACCTGCAGCCACTGTAACCTGCAGTGAGTGCAGCCACTGTAACCTGCAGCCACTGTACCTGCAGCCATTGTAACCTGCAGCCACTGTACCTGCAGCCACTGTACCTGCAGCCACTGTAATCTGCAGCCACTGATCGCAACAACAAATGTATCGCACATTAGCACATATTGTCAGGTGTCCAATATTAATGAAACAAAATCAAGTCTTGCCACGTCCTTACGGTTAACCAGTTCACTGCTCTGTAGCAAATGCCGTTGGCAATTGATCAATTGTAGATCAAGATGTACACACAGTTAATTAGTTAATGGACGACTGAGAATAACAATAAATCATCACATTAGTTGGTGTGGTGAGACAATGAAATACACAGTATTACTACTTGGTAACTATTAGTTAACTAATAACTATTAGTGTTAAGTTTAATTACATCCCTAGCTAGGAGAGACAAAAGGTCCCTAGCTAGGAGAGACAAAAGGTCCCTAGCTAGGAGAGACAAAAGGTCCCTAGCTAGGAGAGACAAAAGGTCCCTAGCTAGGAGAGGCAAAAGGTCCATAGCTAGAAGAGACAAAAGGTCCCTAGCTAGGAGAGACAAAAGGTCCCTAGCTAGGAGAGGCAAAAGGTCCATAGCTAGGAGAGACAAAAAGTCCCTAGCTAGGAGAGACAAAAGGTCCCTAGCTAGGAGAGACAAAAGGTCGCTAGCTAGGAGAGACAATAGGTCCCTAGCTAGGAGATACAATAGGTCCCTAGCTAGGAGAGACAAAAGGTCCCTAGCTAGGAGAGACAAAAGGTCCCTAGCTAGGAGAGACAATAGGTCCCTAGCTAGGGCCTAGGAGAGACAAAAGGTCCCTAGCTAGGAGAGACAAAAGGTCCCTAGCTAGGAGAGACAAAAGGTCCCTAGCTAGGAGAGACAATAGGTCCCTAGCTAGGAGAGACAATAGGTCCCTAGCTAGGAGAGACAAAAGGTCCTTAGCTAGGAGAGACAAAAGGTCCCTAGCTAGGAGAGACAAAAGGTCCCTAGCTAGGAGAGACAAAAGGTCCCTAGCTAGGAGAGACAAAAGGTCCCTAGCTAGGAGAGACAAAAGGTCCCTAGCTAGGGCCTAGGAGAGACAAAAGGTCCCTAGCTAGGAGAGACAAAAGGTCCCTAGCTAGGAGAGACAAAAGGTCCCTAGCTAGGAGATACAATAGGTCCCTAGCTAGGAGAGACAATAGGTCCCTAGCTAGGAGAGACAATAGGTCCCTAGCTAGGGCCTAGGAGAGACAAAAGGTCCCTAGCTAGGAGAGACAAAAGGTCCCTAGCTAGGAGAGACAAAAGGTCCCTAGCTAGGAGAGACAATAGGTCCCTAGCTAGGAGAGACAATAGGTCCCTAGCTAGGAGAGACAAAAGGTCCTTAGCTAGGAGAGACAAAAGGTCCCTAGCTAGGAGAGACAAAAGGTCCCTAGCTAGGAGAGACAAAAGGTCCCTAGCTAGGAGAGACAAAAGGTCCCTAGCTAGGAGAGACAAAAGGTCCCTAGCTAGGGCCTAGGAGAGACAAAAGGTCCCTAGCTAGGAGAGACAAAAGGTCCCTAGCTAGGAGAGACAAAAGGTCCCTAGCTAGGAGATACAATAGGTCCCTAGCTAGGAGAGACAATAGGTCCCACAGTGGGAAACCATTATGACATTAAGCAAAAAATCGACTTTCTATAAATGTTTTGAATTTAAAGTTATTTCATAGTCAAAATTTAGGGGAATTCAGAGCAAAAAACCGTTTTCAAAAACATCAAAAGCCCTTTTCGCAGTCGCGCTATGAATTTTGAGGAAAAAAGAGGTAGGCAAAATTTCGGTTTTTTCAGTGAAATTTTGCCTGTTTTGACATTTTAGCCCTCCAAAAGGAACTTATGTGCCACAATGGAGGCTATATTGTCATGTTTAGGCAAAGAATCATCCTTCTAATGTTTTTTAACCTATGAAAATTGAAGTTTTGGTTGATTTTTGATGCGCGAGCGAAAAAATTACGCTTTTTCAGCCAAATTTTTGACAAAAATGGGCATAAAAAGTTGTGAGCACACCATAGCACGCCTCAAAACACTATTGCATGTGAAACTAGACACTATTTTGAGGCAAACCCAACTCTGCAACCTGCGGCACTATGTGGCACTTTTTTTACAGAGCGCTTTGAAAATCTTTGACGTGTAGAAAATGTGCAATTTTTGCCTATTGCTAGTTGATACTTAAATGGTCAAAAATTGCGTCTAGGAATACATTTAGAGCTTCAAAACATATCTAAATGTATTTTTAGGCTATAGGTAAGCCTAAGAACATACCCTTAAGTCAAAATCTAGCAAAATGTAGCAAAAATCTAATAAAAACTCAAATTTTATGATCAAAACAGTCATTTTGGTGGATTTTTGGACCAAAAAACCCTCTTATTTTGCATTTTAAAATTCAGATTTTGTCAGAATTGGACCATTTTAGTGTCAAATTGTAGCTAGCAGTGAGCTGAAGACAATGAAATAATAATTTAAGGTCTTAAAGGGCAAAAAGTATTTTATAATTGGATAATTTGGTGAATTTCGAGGCTAAAATGGCAAATTTTCCAAGATTTTCCAAAATTTCGCCAATTTTTTTCCTTAAAAACTTCAATTTTTACCCTACAACGACAAATTTGGTACCGGAAGAAAGTTCTCGGAGAGCTCATAACCACAGAATACATTTTAAAGACATGGGAATTGAAAATTTTGTGCAAATCCACAAAAAGGGCTTCCCTCTGTCCTCAAAATTTAGGGGGCCTGAACCCTAAAAATTGTGATGGTATCAATTTCAAAACCATTTAGTGCAAGTTGTTTGATATGGAATATCTCGAAATTATGTGTACTTATGATTAAAACCAAAATAAATAAGCAAAATAGCATTTCTAGGCTTTTATCAGCCATTTTACTGGCCAAAACATGTTAAAATAAGGCGATTTTTGTCATTTTCCATAAAATATTTCAAAATTTTCATGAAAATCGATTTTTTTCCGATGATACCCCCACCCAAACATCTGGGGAGGTGTTTCAGACATGTTCCGGGTCAATTGAACTTCAAAAAATAACGTATGGTGATTAAATCGTCAATTATAGCTTAATGTCATAATGGAGGCTGTAAATTTCCCACTGTGGGTCCCTAGCTAGGAGAGACAAAAGGTCCTTAGCTAGGAGAGACAAAAGGTCCCTAGCTAGGAGAGACAAAAGGTCCCTAGCTAGGAGAGACAAAAGGTCCCTAGCTAGGAGAGACAAAAGGTCCCTAGCTAGGAGAGACAAAAGGTCCCTAGCTAGGAGAGACAAAAGGTCCCTAGCTAGGAGAGACAAAAGGTCCCTAGCTAGGAGAGACAAAAGGTCCCTAGCTAGGAGAGACAAAAGGTCCCTAGCTAGGAGAGACAAAAGGTCCCTAGCTAGGAGAGACAAAAGGTCCCTAGCTAGGAGAGACAAAAGGTCCCTAGCTAGGAGAGACAATAGGTCCCTAGCTAGGAGAGACAATAGGTCCCTAGCTAGGAGAGACAATAGGTCCCTAGCTAGGAGAGACAATAGGTCCCTAGCTAGGAGAGACAATAGGTCCCTAGCTAGGAGAGACAATAGGTCGGTAAAGCTAAACATAAAGCTAAAATATATATATTGTATACCCAGATGTGTATTAATTAAGTTCGGTTATACAATATCTTGTTCTTTCTGTCACCTCTCTACCTTAATATTCATATTACATAATGTATTATAAATGAATATTAAAGTAGCGAGAAGTGGGAGGTCACAGATATCCTAAAGAACTAGATATGACAACCGATTTTCATTGCAAAAACAGATAACTTAAATATACTATAGAGTATATATGTCAACTGTGTGCCTATTAAGGCCTAAGTTCTACATTTTGTTGCACAATCACTGTGGTTACCACACTGGGTTGCCCTCCGCAAAATGCTCTGTTCCAAGCCCAAATTAGCACGGGCTGTTACCAGGTTATTTCTGGCATATTCTTCAAAACTTTACGAAATATATTAAAATGTAGATTTTGCTTGGTCCTCACGGTTATTAAACGGTTAACTGTAGCAAACCCTGTTTGAAACCTGTGACAGTTGCTTTATTTCTAGACACCATACTTTTGGAATCTGGAGGGGTTACATTAAGAGTATAAGTTTTGACACACCTTTTTTAATAGTTTCCTGGACTTTTAATTGGATTGAAATACACTCACAATTAACTAGAGAACTACTAAATCGTATGAGACAGTTGACACATCTATAAAATTGAGTCCTGTGAATATTTTTGATTTGCAGGACATGAGTGATAATCAACTTGAAACTTTCTTTTGAAAAAGTTACCAAATTTTGTATCATTTATAATTATAACCGAATATATGCATTATATAATAAGTGAATCAAAGTTTAAGGGGGCAGAGGGGGGGTCCTCATGGAAATTTTCTCAAAATCGATTTTTTAGTTGTTTCTAATAGAGGGGAGTGATGTCTATCAGATGCTTTTAATCCTATAGAAAAATATTGTTCCTAGCCGAAATTATTGCCGGTCAAAGGTCAGCGCTTGTGTGTAATTGTATTGCGCAAGGGATTTTTGATCGCGCGTCCTGAAAATCGACTCTAAAAATCTATCTTCTCCTACATATTTTGAGCAATCACTCTGAAACTTTCAGGATATGTTCTAGGGACCATTTAGAAGAGACTAGCCGGATGGAATTTTGAGATAGGCCTTTAAAAAATTTTTATTCGATTTTGAACATCTTGGACCTCGTTTTTTGATGATTTTTCGAGGTCCAAGATTTTCAAAATCGAATAAAAAATTTTTAAAGGCCTATCTCAAAATTCCATCCAGCTCATCTCTTCTAAATGGTCCCTAGAACATAACCTGAAAGTTTCAGAGTGATTGCTCAAAAAATGTAGGAGAAGATAGATTTTTAGAGTCGATTTTCAGGACGCACGATCAAAAATCCCTTGCGCAATACGATTACACACAAGCGCTGACCTTTGACCGGCAATAATTTCGGCTAGGAACAATATTTTTCTATGGGATTAAAAGCATCTGATAGACATCACTCCCCTCTATTAGAAACAACTAAGCTTTGAAAATGTTGACCTTTGTAGTCAAATACCAGATCGCTGAGCACTTTATTCTGGCAAAATATAATAATTACCTTATGGGGATAATTTTGTTCATTCTCTTTCGCATCTGAAGCGCATCGGAAGTTATCATTAAACACACAAACCTGCAGATCGTTATTGTATCCTGTTATGTTATTTGATATTGCCGCCCTGTGCCTTATGAAGTGTTTCTAGATAGGTGCTTTGATAAAATTATGGAATTAATGTCGTGATCCATCATTAATTAGCTTCTAAAGGCTAATTCAGGTATCTAGGTATTCATTAAGTCTCTACTTGAGCTGTTCCTCAGAATCAAACGTTATCCTTACATAATAATATATTATATAGCATTTTTCTCTAATCATTATTAATGTTATATTAGTTAAATCTGGTTAACTCTGATAGCTCCATATATCATTTTCACAAGAAACTCTTCAGGAATTAATTTATCTAGTATAATGGAAACTTACTCAGGACCTGAGATCATACTTAAATGTTATTGTGCTCATTAAAACTATATGGGAGGGTGTAATGACAGTCAGCCATTAGCTAAATATTAAAGTATCTCTCGTAACGGACCATCAGTTCTGTAATTTTTATCCCTAAATGCATTTATGCATAAAAAATTTCAGGACCAACTCCGACCAAGTATATAAGTCAAATTCAAAAGCCCAATAAACAAGACAGAACTTTCGTGGCGGGTTTTAAGCATATTTAGTATTCACTCTCAGAATCAAACAAAGAATTGCTAAAATTGACATAGTATAGATGTATGATAACAATAGTAATACGGTAATAAATTAGATTCTAGATAGTTTTGCCGTAGTAGGGTTTACAGCATAAAATTCTGATAATTTGCTTAATCATTCACAGCGTGGGTGCTTCATTAAATGATCAGTAAGGTGTTAATTTTGCTCCGCTGTGCTCTATTCTATAAACCTGCGCACTGCAAGTATTACATTAGTTAGATCTAATAACCTTTCCTCTAACCCGCGGGCCAGTTTTCAGGAGTATTATCATTCATTATCGGGTGCAATGAAACCCAATTACATCTCGAAAAATTGTTAAATTATTACTCCACCCAGCTATATATAATCCTCTTTTTAGAAATTATGTTAAAAATTCTCTTTTTAGAATCCTAGCGATGTGAACCGTAGTCGTATTCCTTAACGTTATATATTTCAGTATTTCAGATATGTATTTCAGTATTTTATACAAATTTCAAGCGCTTCAAAAGATTTAAAAATGCTTTTACTTCCGAGAAAATTGCCCCGAATTTGTTAATAAAATAATAGCATTGGCAGGCACTATTCTTGGCAATGTTCTAATCTTCATTTTATCACAAAAAAGATGGAAAAGTAAACGGCTCGAATCTAATCATGTCTGAGAATTTAAACAATTCAACTTATCTTACAGGTGTAAAGTTAACGAGTCCGTGTAATGTTGACGACAGCAAACAACTGGGCTACAGTGACGACGAAGATTTCTACTACCCTTCAGACGACGACTGTGTCGATCTGACTCCAGCTGACTACAATTATTGTTATAATTACTGATTTAATTTTTTTTCTTAATGTCATCATTTCTACTGTCAGCGTTTCTGCTGTCGTTTTATATAGTGCTAGATTCAGTCTTACAGTCATCATAATTTCACTGTCGTCATTTTCACTGTCATCATTCCAAGTGTCGTCCTGGCTACTGTCACTATTTTCTATCATTACACAACCTTACAAAATAAACTTTTATGGTTACAGCCAGCCAATACACTGAGATCTCATAAATATTAAATATGCATATTATGTCGCAATAAATTGAATGGGCCAATAATATGTTAGGTTATTGTCAACTAACCACAGCATTTATGCTAATATACAAATTATGTGTAATATTAACAACCACGCACAAACTTGCGAGATGATAGAATATAATATAATACGTTATGCTCGTGAAATCCGGCTAGTATAAATGCACGATTATCAAATTTCTATTTGTATAACCGTAATAATACATGTGAGGGCCGTAGATTATTGTTAATAATAACAGCAGGTATATTGAGCATTTATTTCAAACTTTTCTCCCTCAAGTACATTATATGAATATATATACTGCTATATATTTATATATAATATAATATTGCAGTACAAACACCTGTTTGACTAACCAACCACGCTACATTACTGAATAATTATATTCACAGTAAAGACAAGCTCCCCTAACATTTAATTCACATTATATATCAGGACCACCATTCTCTCTAGTCTCACTTTTGCATCTATAATTATATAATATTATATATTTTGAAGTAAACATTGGCCAGTAAGCAAAGCTGGTCCCCAATATTTTCTCTGATGTCTGCTGATCGGTGTAGAGAATGTTACGTTGTGAATGTTGAGAATGTTACAAATTACAATAACATGGCCCTTATATCATTGATATATACTTTTGATATAATATCAAAGCTTCCAAGTCATGTATCTTTGTTAGCTTTAAATGGTTGTTCTGCACAAAAACAAGAAACTTTGTCATTGTGCAATTTACAGTGAGGTCCATACAAAAGTGTCAGTGCTTACTTTTCAACTTTTCACAGTACATTGTGCAGTGTGTGAGAGACGAGATGCTGTATGTAATATTATATAATTACAGATCTATCCTACTAGGAACATTCTCAATCTACACGTCTAGATCTCGCCCAAACATGTCGACTCTAGCCCAAGAACCAGATTTTTAACTGTCCACAGTGCGCTGTATATTATCAGATTTTTGTAACTTTAAAAGTACTCTATTTCTAATAAGGTAGGGATATAATTTCGGCTCTAAATTTTGTCGTTCAGTATTCATGACATGCACAACGATTGTAAATGTGGGGGATGTGTTGTTCGGTCCACGTCATGCAGTCTTGTGATCCTTGAGCCTTCAGGCATTCCGGTGATCCACCTTGATGCATTCCAATGATCACCCGACAGGGATACCGCATCATTCAGATAATTAGCTTCATGATAAGGGCGCAGATGTAAGTTAATCTTGGTAAGGGGTACTAACTAAAAGTTTTGTTAAAATTGTGTTCCGTTATTGATTGCTAACCCAAGACGTAGGCGCACCATTGAAAGTTACCATCATTTTATCTGCCTGATTAGGATTTTTGGGGAAAATTAGCATCAGGAATGAATTCCTCGCGTATATTCGATCTCCTCTCTAAGTTATTGGCCTTACTCCTTAATTTATGCACAGTGCACACCCACTTTTCTTGAGATGCATCAGACCTAAATGTCAATTTCGTCTCATTAATTACATTCCATTTAGCATCGCATCCCATCCTAATGCAGAATCAAGTGTATTTCATAGAAACACCTCGTTTGAGCCGTTATGAAACCAATAAAACGTGTTGCATTCAACCTCCTCCCTCCCTTCCTCCCTCCCTCCCTCCCTCCCTCCTCCCTGTTTTACGGGGTAGAATTAGAGGACGAATTTGCACCTCCGCTGACAAGGGATGACTTAAATAATAATGAGTTAGACGCTGTGTCATGTTATTCACCGTTACAGCCTGTTTCAGCTCTAGAATACCTTCTTCAACGGAAGCTTGAAGCTGTGAAAACAACTTAACTTATTAATGTGACATGAATCTGCTCAGCTTAACCTACAGACAAATTGAAGAGTGCGATCTCTCCTTTATAGCTTTATAAGGAGATTTTTCAAACATCTTAAATTTCCCTCCTAGCAGTATTTGATAACGTCTAACTATCAATAAAGTTGCTTAATAAATCGGTCGAATATTATTATATATATGGTGAGTGCTCGGAGAGAACACAATATCACAGTTTCTTGCGAGAGCTCAGGTCTTTATATCCTTTTGGGATAATCATACATTATTAGAGAGAGGGTTTAGAGTTACTCGTATCATTATACAAAGTTACTATAATAAAAGTTAGAATTTCGGAACCACCGTATTAATATTATGCGAGATTATTGTGTTTAGATCCAAGAATGTTCTACTGGCGAGAGTTCCTTAGAAATATTTGAAGTCAAAATTTAGCAGTTTCTACGTTATATAAAACATGTTGAATATTTGATGGTGCTCACCTTAATTCCTTTGAACAGAATATATAGCATTTAAATGACAGAGCGGAGGCATCATGCACAAGCTGTCACATGGCCCACCTGTTAAATTTTATCGGATGATCCCAAGAGCGAATAAAATAGTGAGGTGTGATAAAGTTGTGGTAACAATGAATAAATTGAATATTATTATTAAAGTTATAACTGAATATATAAATATATTCAAGTAGCTTACTCCTCTCTCTCTCTCTCTCTCTCTCTCGACCCTAAAGCTGTGCATGTCAAATTCCCTCTCAGTCAGTGCCTCCACTATGTTTTATCTCACATCATGTGATGTGAAGTGAAGGTGAACATAGCCACGTTCTCATGCTAAGGCTGTAGATCATCAAGTACGCGTAAGTTAGTGTCGCATATATTGGTGGTGTTATATAATATATACGAATAATAATAATAATAATGGTGACGATGATGAGGGGGGTTTAAAGTTCATCACGATATTGAATAAATTGTGTTACAGTAGAAATTTGAATGTTTTGTGGAAACAAATACGTGTGCGTGCACATTTTGCATGTCATTTGTGGTATATAAGAGACATAATTTGATATTTTTTGTTTCTGACTAACAATGGCTGGAGAGAAATTTTAAAGATATTTTGAGAAGTTCTTTTTGGTGTATATTTGTCGTGGAGTGTGTTAATTTATTTCAATGGACCGGACCAGAATTTATTACATGGTGGTCAACATTTTGTACGCAAATGGTATGTTGATTGGAATGTACTTGGAATACTGCCAAGTTTTATTTTATCATGGTTTGAATTTATTTGTATTGTATTTTAAAACGTTTTTCTACGTTAAAAGTTTAAAAACTCGCAGCTTGACATGTTTTTTATGTATGAGAAACAGACCGTTGTGTGATGCTGTACCAATTTCTTACACTTCCAGAGTTCAGACAGAAAGTTAATTTGTTTTAATGATTACACCTCACTTTAATGATATTACACCTCCTCATAACTGTGCACAATCCTGATGACGTCATCACAGCTCAAATTGAATCTCTAATCCGAGGCGTGACCGCAGACTCAGGTATGCAATATATTACGACGCTAATTTTAACCTGTAATCTTACTCGAACGGAAGTTGAAGGAGAGGCAGACATTTGTTGGTCTTTTATCCGACAAATTTAAATCATGCAACGCGTGGTACTGTACAGCGGTCACGTGGTACTGTACAACAGTCACGTGGTACTGTACAGCGGTTACGTGGTACTGTACAACAGTCACTTGGTACTGTACAACAGTCACGTGGTACTGTACACTGTACAGCGGTCACGTGGTACTGTACAGCGGTCACGTGGTACTGTACAGCGGTCACGTGGTACTGTACAGCGGTCACGTGGTACTGTACAGCGGTCACGTGGTACTGTAAAACAGTCACGTGGTACCATATCAGCGTACTACAGCGTACTATAAAGCGTGACCGAAAGTTGAGTTAAATGTTTACAGAAGTATTGTGACTGTGTAAAAAGGATAACAGGGTACACAGTTACATATTATATTATTTGCATATCACACTCATTTTAACGTCACATGTACAGCTGCACACACATATTACACGTACTTATATCACGGAAGCTGCATTTTAAGCGAGATCTCACATAAATTACGAGAGAAAGTTAATTAAATTTAAGTTTGTGTGTACCTATACATTATGTATTAGGGGGCCATGAATTTACTATTTATTTATATTTGTGCGAGAAGAAGATTTGCACCTCCGTGCTAAACTAGTAGTAACATCTGAGAGCTCTTACTTTCCAGAGACTGGTTGGCTCCGTTATTATTAGAGAAACAATGTGATACCACAGTCCCATGAGAGCATTATATTAGTGTCTCTCGCAGTCTGGTAGCTATAATGGGTTATTTCAGTTAATTAGTTGAGTTTAAAAGGTTGTGATAAGTGGTAATTATACAGTGTTCTAGCACTGTTTGATGGAAAGTATTGTTCTTCCATTATACTGCCAAATATTGCGCCTGAAAAAGGTAGGCTGTTACTCAGCCACCATTTCCATTGGTACACTGTGATGCCTTTAGTTAGTTACTAATTTTCATGCTTTCCTGACAAATATGATTCAAAAGAACTGTGTCAAATTGTTCTAATTGGTAGGGTTTCTAGCAGTGGCGTAACGTTGCCTGTTGCCCCCCCCCCCCCCCCCCCCCCCCCGCGAAAAGGCGCCCCCTGTTGGCGCCCCCTCCCCTTTTGGTGCCCCTCCCTAAAATTGAACAAATTAGGTGATTTTAGAGGATACGCCGGTAAAATCTCTAAAAAAGTGTGTATCTAGAGCAAAACGCGCAGTTTTGCTAGTACTTTAGTTAAGTTTTCGAAATTGTCCCACATTCAAACGACGATTTGGCGCCCCCCTAAGACGGTGCCCCCCTGCACAGCGGGGTCAGCGGGGCCCTTCGTTACGCCACTGGTTTCTAGTGACCAAATAACCTGCAATGATAGAAATTAAGTTCGTTTGATGGGCCTGGTATTGAAATAAGTGCATTCTTTAATCTTCATTTGATCTGAGCGAGGGGGTGTTCTAGCAAAATTGTAAGAATGTCGCCCATAGTTTATTCTCATAATTGTAAGAATGTCGCGCACTGAAATATCATTAAAGTAGCATCCCTGCACATCGTATGAGTAGGCGTACCTACTGTAGAAATCCAATTACACAAATTTGATCAATATTGGTGAAGTTCTCGCCTGGAATACGAAAATGTAAGGTAAACTTTTTATCATTTTATTTGAGCGGTTATCTGGTATGCAGGAACCATTAATTACAGTACAAATTATTATTCCATCTCTTCGTCTACCGATACTGATAGTTGGATAATATCCGGTTGGAAGAGACAAGGACATCGGAGAGCACTGAGCAGTCAACACTAACAGGCCTTTAACCTATCTCAAATTATTTGTTATATAGTAGTGTTGAAAGTATTTAAATATTTTTCGGGGCAATTGCTTGCCCCGAAAAATTTTCATCAGCTCCAAAATCTCATCAGACTGCAGGTGTTCTGGCGAAATTGTAACAATTGCGCACGGACCTAACTTTTGCGCTAATTTTGCATCTGAAATGGGGCAACATTCGCTTATAATTCTGAGAAGAAAAAATCTACTGTAACCCTGTTTAAAGGAGAAATGAAAGGAAGACGCGAAAAATGTTGTATTGATAGTTAGCAGCCACTGTACTATAGAAGCGCAGCGCACGCATGTACGTTTTACGCGCGCGCCTGCTACCAATGGTTATATATTATATATATATATATAAAGGGATCGTTCACATATTATTGGATCGTTCACATATTATTACGTACCTTACTCGGGATTATTATGACCGCGATAAAGTGGCGGGTTTAGGGTAATTTCGCCATATTTTTCCCGAACCACATTTTCACCGGTCGTTAATAATAAATAAACCCGCTTGTAGCGCGATGCACTATTGCATACTGGCCACTGGGTCGCGCGCGCATCAAATAATGCTTCTCGCAACCACGGTAGATCGGCGAAATGCACCACTGTGCCTCACCGAGCTGCGAAGGATTGACATCGTGAATCAATAAACCCGCCGACTCAGCTTTTAGGGTTCCCAAGGGTTATGGGTGCTCATATTTTAATCGTTGTCTTATATTCACTAAATAAGACTATTGGGACACTTGTTGTAGGTTTTTCGACTTCATTTGGCTAAAATTGCAAAAAATTCACCTTTTTGCCCAATTCTTGTCATATATCCTTATTGTCAAAGTTGATTTAAATAGGCCAATTTTTAATTTCTCAGGTATTGACTATCTCTACATAATGAAATAGGACTCAAAGTAAAAGTAACAGTTAAATTAAAACTTGAATTAATTAAAACTGTCAATAACATAAATCAGTTTCATCAGTCATTTATTCATAATTCTAAACAATGTGAACGATGAATTCTTTCGAAGATTTTCTACAAATTGAGTCATAATGGTTATTTGATACATGTAAACATTTAATGCTAATTCAAAACAACGAATTTTCTAGAGTGCTAGACTACCAACACGTTACTAGCAATGCGAAAATTTCTAAACTTGCTTATTTCTAATAAGGAAATTTACATCTGAGACAAAATTTTTGAATCTAAAATTGAAAGGTTGGACACCGGTAAAATGGCGACCGGGAAAATGTGGTGGGTTTTGAGCAATTTCGCCATATTTTTCCCGAACCATATTTTAACCGGTCGTTAATAAACCCGTCGTAATAAACCCGAGTAAGGTAATCAATATTTTAGCAATTTTTACCTCCCCTCCGTAATCAAGACCTAATCCGCCGCGCCCCCCCCTGACAGCAATATTACGTAATCATGGCCTGACATAAAGCTTACTGGGCCGCGCTCAGCCTGTCATTCCGCCTAATCTCTATATTTACAACATTAAAGCCTGGGGTCCTCACTCCTCAGGTAAGACCCCCCTTACTGGGCCGCGCTCAGCCTGTCATTCCGCCTAATCTCTATTCAACATTAAAGCCTGGGGTCCTCAGGTAAGACCCCCCCCCCCTGCAGGTAAGACCCCCCCCATTTGACTTTTTTCCCTGGAAATCATTTTTCGTTACGTTTCATGTTACCCTGATCATGATGAGCCGTAATCATTATTATGATATCCGACCAAGCACCTTTCACTTTCAGCAGTATCCAAATAGCCCGACCCCTGTTCACGAACAGGTGTTCGTGAAAAACTTATGATATGATGGTTAACCTGCACTCCTACCTGTCCAACCAACTTCATTCTCCAGGAAGACCAACACCCAGGATGAAGCCCGTCTAGCTGGATGTAGCAGCTGTTGGACTGTATGCACCATTCGAAAGAACATTTTTTGACATCAGGGTCACTCACCCTAATTGCGACTCAAATACATTTAAGCCACTAGATAAAATCTACAGTGCGCATGAAAAAGAGAATAAAGATCTCTATGAGGAGAAAGTACTTCAGTCAGAGAAAGGGTCCTTTGTCCCACTAGTCTTTACAACATCCGGGGGTATGGGCCCACTCTGCACTGTGTTTTTAGATCGTATTTCTGAAAGGATAGCTGACCACAATAAAGAAGCTAAGAGCCAGGTCAAAAATCACATCAGAACACGATTCAGGTTTGATCTGCTACGAAGCACACTCATAGCACTTAGGGGAATCAGAGGAAGACAAAAAGCCCAGCACCTTGGACTGGATGACGTATTTTTTAATTAGTCAGTGTAATAAGCGCCAAGCGCGAGCACAGAACTTTTTTCTCCGATTTCGATAAATTTGGTACCAAAAGTTGTCTAAAAATGTGAATAAAATAAATTCACCGTGTAGCAATTTTTGGAAAAAATGCTACACGGCGCTTGTTTGCCGCGCGTGCTTTTTTCGCGCAAATTTTTAGTTTTTGGCCTATAACTTTCACATTTTAACTCATTATCACATAGTTATTATGGTATCGTAATCAGCTCATCGAGACGAAACTTTTAGAACTAATATTTTAAGATTTAAAGGATTTTTTTTCAAACGTTTTTAATTTGAACACAAGGGTCCCCCCTTGTGTAAAATTTTGAACAAATTTTCGAAAAATTTGGTGCTTTAAATATTATAATTTTGGTACCAAAAGTTGCGTCTGATTAAGCTCATTACGATTCTGTAAGAATTATTTCAAAATATTCAATATTTTAGGAGTTATAGGCATTTTAAGCAATAAATTAACCATTTTTAGTCCATAGTACACTTTTGCAGTGCACAGGAGGCCCACATACATCTCAACGAATCGTGCTACACGGTGAATTTTCATTATTCACAGTTAAAGGCAACTTTTGGTACCAAATTTATCAAAATCAGAGACAAAAAATTCTGTGCCAACTCATGGCGCTTATTACATAGACTAAATCTCATTCCTCAGAAGACAAGCTTTGAGGTCTCTTAAGTTT